TGGCCTCCAGGCAGCTCCTCTGCCTGGCAATGTCCTGCTTCAGCTTCTGTGGGGAGCACACGAGGAGAAAGAGGGGTTTTTAAGGAGGGTTCTTCAGCAGAATTAACTGGGCTCTCCTCAGGAGCAGCAGCAGGTGGTTTGACACAAGCAGAGTTGGGAAAAAATAGTTTTGTATCCCAGTTTTTCCTTCCTTTCTGACATGCCCAGCATGCTCTGCTTTTCCCTGTGTCTGAAATGTTGTTAGCAAAGAAAAAAGGAGATTTTCAGCAAGTCTGTGTCCTTGCACAGTTTACTCAGAGATGCTGGAGCTGTCCCCAGCATCTCTGGGACATTTCCCCATCCTTGGAAATGTCCAAGGCCAGATTGTACAGGGCCCTGAGCAAGCTGGTCCAGTGGAAGGTGTCCCTGCCCATGGCAGGGTGTTGGAATTAGATGGTGCTTAAGGTTCCTTCCAACCCAAACTATCCAGTGATTCTATATAAATAAAATAAAAATAAAATAAAATAAAATAAAATAAAATAAAATAAAATAAAATAAAATAAAATTTAAAATAAATAAAATTAAATTAAATTAAATTAAAATAACATCAAATAAAATTTTAAAAAATTTTAAAAATTTAAAAAATAAAAATAAAATAACATTAAAATAAAATGAAAGTAAAGATAAAAATTCAAATGAAAATTAAAGTAAAATAATATAAAAATAAAATAAAATAAAAGTAAAGATAAAATTCAAATAAAATTCAAATAAAATTAAATTAAATTAAATAAAAATAAAATAAAATAAAATAAAATAAAATAAAATAAAAATAAAATAAAATAAAATAAAATAAAATAAAATAAAATGGTTCTGCTCATATTCATTTTTAGGTGGTTTTTTTGGTGCTTTCAGTACTCAGTTACCCCTGCATGGTGCAGGTGCTGCTCTGGGCTGTTTGGGGTGAGGGAGCCAGCCCAGCCTTACCACACTGGTGGCAAGCGAGTCCTGGATGGAGGCAGAGGTGAGCACAGCTGGCTGATCCTTCTCCAGGCTCTTCTCAATCTCAGCCACGGACTGGAGCAGGCTCTCCAGGCTCTCCTGGACGCTCTGGGACTGGGCAATGGATTTCTGCAGCAGGTCTGAGCGCTCGGACATCTGCTGGGACAGGCTCTGGAAGCGGCTCACGATGGCATCTGCAGGGTTCAGCACAGAGCACACTCAGTGGCACAGAGCTCCAAGGGCTCAGAGAGCAGCCAGGGTCACCTTTGGCTCCCCAAAACTCTCAGTGATGACAAATCCCTGTCCCCAAACTCAGCAGTGAGATGGGGGATGCAACACAAGTGGCCACACCCCTCCCCACATGCAAACCCTGAGGATGCTCTGCTACGTAATTACCCCCAAATTCCCCCAAAAACTGATTTATTTTTGCCCCTTCTGGCTTGTTCCCACTCTCCCCAGCCCTCCCAGCCCTCCCTGGCAGCTGCTTTGCTCTGTACCTGTTGTCTCCTGGATGTGGCCGTGGTCTGGGGCTGGCTCCCCTTGGATGTCCAGCAGGGTCCGAGCTGCTTTCTGCAGCTTCTCCACTGGCACCTGGTGCTCAGCCAGGTCCCCCTGCAGTTGCTGTTTCCACACAAGACAAGCCAAAATCAGAGATGGGTCCCAGGCGGGAATGCCACACTCATGGAGCTTTTACACCCTCTGAGGGATTCTCTGCACTTCATTGCTCAATTGTTAAGAAATGATGGAAAAATCTACCCCCACGCAGAGCTGGATCAGAGGGTTTGGGCTGTCCCAGTTCTCTGGCACCCTCATGGGGGAGGAATGTCCCTCTCTATGTCCCTCTGGCGTGTCTGCAGCCCCTAAGCACCTTTCCCAGAAGTTTGACTCCACCTGACCTGCAGCACAGAACCTGCTACACCTGCAGGTGCATCTTTGCCCTCAACCAGCATAAAAAAACCCCAATGGGTCAAATCTCCCTGCTGCTGACTGCTCAGAGCAGCCAAATTCCCATCCAGGCTCCAGCACTTCCCAGAAAATCCTTCAAATGTACCTTGGTGCTGGCGAGCTGCTTCTGCAGCACGGCCAGATCTGAGGAAACCGTTTCTGAGAGCAGCTTCCCCAGGGCAGCCTCACTCTCCTGCAGCCACGTCCTCAGAGACTCTGCCACCTCCTGGAACTGCTGGTAGTGATCCAGCAAGGTGCTCAGGTGGGAGCCCAGCTTGGAGCACTGCAAGGGAGCAACGAGAGGTGATAAGGATGCACGTAAATGCTGAGCAGCCCGCGGGAGAAGGCACAGGAATCAGCAAGAAAGAAAAAGCAATTAAAAAAAAAAATCAATCTTGCCACAGGCTAAACGAATTACTAGGGGTGACACGCAGACCAACAGCAAGACAAGGGTGTTGCCCAAGCCCTGAAGAAGACAATCCTTGTCCTACAATCTATAAATGTCCTGGCAGCTGGGACTTTGGAGGAAAAGAGCCCCCAGCTCCCAGCCCTTCCCATACCTTGGAGTGCAGCGTGGTGTATCTCTGCGTGGCGTCCTCCAGCTTGCTCTTGACCACACTCCTGGACATCACCAGCTGGGATTCATCGCCCCCAGCATCCCCATCCAGAAACTTCTCCCCCGACATGGTGACGAAGCGCAGGTCACCCTTGTGGGAGATCACATCCTCGGCGAAGCTGCCCTGGCGCCGCAGCAGCTGCCTCAGGGAGGCAGGGTCGCTGTCCCCCTTGTACATGCCCTGCAGCTCCTGCTCTGCCTGCTCCAGCCAGGCCTGGAACTCCCCGTGGTCCTGCAGGAACTTGTGGAGCTCCTCCCTGAGGAGCTGCACCCGTTTGAGCTGCGCCTCGGCGCGCGCCAGCGACGCCGGGTACCGCTCCCGCAGCTGCGCCAGCTGTGCCTGTAGCCTCTCCTGCTCCTGCCCAGCCAGGCTGGGCCCCTGCTTGTCCAGGAAAGCCTGTGCTGCCTGCGTGGCCAGGATGATGTCCTGCTGCTGGGACAGCAGCTCCTGGTGCTGCGCCTGGAAGGTGCAGGGAGAAAGGTGAGCTCGGTGCTGAGGGGCTCTGCTCGCCTCTGCAGGTGTGGCTGGGCCAGCACTGGAAGGGTTAAAGCAAAGAGTGGAGCAGCCTGGTCTAGTGGAAGGTGGGAGTGGATCAGGATGATTTTTTACATCCTTTCCAAGCCAATTATTTTCATGATTCTGTGACAAAGCTCTGCTCGCCTCTGCGTCACCCAGGAGTTGTGGCTGGGCCAGCCCTGGAAGGGTTAAAGGGCAGAGTGGAGCAGCCTGGTCTAGTGGAAGGTGGGAGTGGAACTGGATGATCTTTAAGGTCCTTTCCAAGCCAATTATTTTCACGATTCTGTGACAAAGCATCAGCAGGGTGGGGAAAACTGGGAACGTCCCAGGTTGGGCTACAGGAGTGCAGAGTGAGCCCTTCTGTGGCCATCCTGGGCACCTGCTGGACCCTGGTTACACCTTGTGGGTGGGCACACACCCACCACACATCCTGCATCTCCTGCAGGGCCTGTCTGAGCTTCCCACACGGAGAATCCCATATTTCATACCCATATAACAGCAGGGACAGGGCGTGGGGCAGGAGGCTTTGGGGGGGACAAGGTGTCAGTGCTGACCTTCAGCCTCTCGTAGTGCTCATCCAGGCTCTCAGCAGCACTGTCTGCTCCCACCGTGTGGCCGTCAGGGACATCCCCAGTGCTTTTTGCTGTGCCTGGGCTGGCAGGGTGTGGTCTGTACTCTGGGAGCTCTCCCCTCTGCTCCAGCGACGCCACCCAGCTCAGGAGGGAATCGATCTTATTGCTGTTCTCCTCCAGCTCCTTGGCAGCTTTCACCTGAAAGCACAAGGGCTCCAGATAAGAATGACCCAGTTCTTGCATGTTCAGCAGACTGCTGCACGGGGGAGGGAGACAAAAATCAGCAGAAAGAGGGAAAAAAAAACCAAAAAAAACCCGAGGAGTTTCCCAGCCTCAGCAAATGCCTGAGACACCTCCAGACCCTTTGTGGCTCTCTGGAAGGTGCAGAAAAGCTGTGAAACATCTCAGCCTTGCTGCTACATTGAATTTCTCATCCTCATACACCCCAAAAGGGCTGGGGTGTGATTGGCAATCCACATCCATTAGGGGTCACCCCAAAGGCAGAGTAAGGGACCTTTCCTCCCCCATTCCCTGCACAACCAGCTGCAGCTCCCAAGGCATTTAATGACAGAAATATCTGGGGGAAACCTCACCCGGGGAACACCCAGGAAGGAACCACAAATTGCTCAGTGCTGCATCACCCAGATGGGCCCCCAGGACCTCACAGTCCCCCTCAAGCAAAGCCTGGAGGTTCCACAGCTCCTGGCACGTTACCTTCTCAGTCTCCTGCTGCACTGCAGCACTCACAGCACTCTCCAGCTCCTTCTGGGCCACCTCTGTCCTCTCCTGCAGGGACTGGTACTGCTCCTTGGCACGCTGCAGGTCCTGCTGCAGCGCTGCCAGCTCCCCAGGCTCCAGCTTGGCCTTGTTCTCCTCCAAGAACTGCTCTGTGCTCTTCAGGACACCGGCGAAGGAGGCGGCTCTGCTGTGCATGCTCCTCTGCAGCTCCTGCGCGGGTGAATTCATGAGGCTCTGGGCACTCCTAAAGTGAAACCTCCCCACCTCTGCCCCCCAAAATTTAAGTATCACCAACCTTAACATCGCTCTGCCTCTGCTGGAGGGCGGGCAGGTCCCCCTCTGCTCTCTGCTGCTCTGCCAGGGTGTCCTCAGCCTGGCCCAGCCAGCGGCTCAGCTCGGCCAGGCTCTGTGCCCGGGCTGCCTGCTGCTCCTGCAGCGTCTGTGGGCACAGCAAAGGGGACAGGGGCACAGTCAGGGCCAGCCCTGCACCTCCTCTCACTTGCTGCTGAAAGGCAAGGTGAGGTTACAGCTCCAGGAGGGGAGGATGCAGCACAGAAAACTTTGCGGCTCTCCAGGTGCTCCCTGTCCGGCAGCAGGTGTCACATCCCTGCCGAGCTGGTGGCACTTTTGTCACCATTGGAGGTTTCTCTGTGTTGAGCTGCAAGATGGAGCTGCACTGCTCTCCCAGCAAAACTCAGCCACGAGTTTCTGTGCCTTTCCCGTTCTACTTTACAAACGTTAAAACTGCAGCAGAAACTCACTGAGTGAGAGGCAACAACAGCCTGGGGCAGGCAGCGCCACTGTGGAGCCCCAGACAACCCCAAATAAGGGATTTTTTTAAATGATTTGGGGTTGGAAAGGGAGCCCTGGAGAGGGAAAGTGTTTCTGTGGCTGATCCAGCTCCTCTTTTTGCTGCCAGAGCACAACACAGAAGCGCCTGTTTGAGCAATTGAGCATGATGTGACCTGAGAGTCCCTGTGACACCCCTGTCCCCCTCTGCCAGGGGGGACAAAAGGTTTCTGAGCTTTTCACGGGGCATTTCAGCAAGGTGATGTACAAACTTGTGCCAAACACTGTGCCTGTTTCTCCCAGTCACAAGAGAAAACAACAGAAGCAAATTGAAAGAGCCTTCTTAAGAGCTCTTCAGCTGCAAAGCGAGTTCTTCCTGGGTTAGGATGGGCTCAATCTGAAAAGGCAAAGCACACTGGTTAATACACACACACACACACTCCAGAGAGGACAGGCAAGAGTTACAGAGAGCAATTGTTAATAATAAAAACACATTAATCCTGTCTTGGATGAGAGGATCCATGCAGTGCTGGGTGCTGCTCAGAGATCTGAGGGCTTGTTTGTGCCCTTGCCAGCTGTTTCCAGCAATGCCTGATGTGTGCAGTGGAAACAGGACATTGGGTGCTCCCTACGCAGGGATTTTGGGGGTGATTACAGGGTTTATTCCACCCAGCCCCAAACAATTCCATATCTAGCAGAGAACTGCTGCCCAGACCTCAGCAGGGCTCCACGTTTTGGGAGCAAAGCAACTTTCTGCCTGGTAGGAAGAAGAAAGCCTTTTAGAGGAAGCTCATGAAACAGTGAGAACTCCTGAACTGGGAGTGGCATGCAGGGGAAATCCCAAATTGGAGGTGCTGCTCCTGTGGCTGGGAAGAGCTTCAGCGAGCCGAGGAGGAGATGTCTCACAACCTTCACCTGCTCCGTCTGCTCCGCTTGCTGGAGACAGAGCTGCAGCACCTCCAGCCGTGCTGCCACACGCTCTGACAGGTCCCTGAAGGCTTTCTGCAGCTCATTGAGCAGCCTCAGCAGCTGCCTGCTCTGCTGGGGGGTCAAATCCTGTGCGTGCTCCGAGATGAGGAGCTGGATGTCGAAGGCAGTGGCGTCCAGCTCAGCCTTGGTGTCAGCAAGGGGCTCCTTCAGCTCCTGAATGGGAGAGAAAAAACAGCCAAAATTACCCTAAAATGACCTTAAAAATGATCAGTGCTGTGCTGCACTGCTTCCCATCTGCAGGTGTCACAGGAAATGTATTCCGAAAACACCCAACTCTCCCAAAACTGCACTCAGCATGGAGGTGAGGGTCACAGACATCTCTATGAAAAATCCTTTCCTTAGGATTTTTCCTCCTGAGAAGCTGAGAGGACTCAGGAACAAAATGTAAATAATTTTTATCTGCTGCTGTGGAATGCAACAGGTGCATCTGGGATTGGTGTCATGTGGTTGTTTCTAATTAAGGGCCAATCAAAGTGAGCTGGCTCGGACTCCTCTGTCTGAGACACAAACCTCTGTTATCATTCTTTCTTTTTCTATTCCTAGCCAGCCTTCTGATGAAATCCTTTCTTCTATTCTTTTAGTATAGTTCTAATATAATATTTATGATAAAATAATAAATCAGCCTTCTGAAACATGGAGTCAGATCCTCGTCTCTTTCCTCAGACCTCTGTGAACACTGTCACAGGTGACAGCATCTCACCATAAGGATTTTCCAACTTCCCTCTGCACCAGGCGCTGTTGGCACCTCACCAAGAGGTTTTTTGGCTGTGTGTAGGGCTGCCCTTGGGTCTGAAGGTGACCCAGACCTGGCCACAATGGCTCCATGTGCCACCACCAGCTCTCAAAGCCTTCAATCCCCTGATTTCCATGCCCAAGATGCCACAAGCAAGCTTGGAAATAATCTTTATTGCTAGAAAATGGATTAGGAGACTGGGCTGCACATACAGGTGATGGAGACCAGGGCAGGTGTGATGCAGCAGCTTCCCAGAGGATGCAGCCTGACAGGAATCTCCCCAGGTCACTCAGCCACCACCACACCCCTGCACAGCAGCATTTCAAACAACCAAACCAGGCTGTGTATTAGGGAAATAAATTATTTTAGAGAACACCCAACTGAGCAGCTCCTGCTGCAGCACAAGCTAAGGGCAAAGCCTGGGAGAGAAGCAGGATTAAAAGCTTCTCTTTTAATGTATTTTAATTTTACACTTATATAATATATAAGTGCATAATTATACAAGTTATATACACTTTTAAGTGTATAATATAATATATAATGTATAATTATACAAGTTATATATACTTATACAATTATGCACTTACATATTATATCTTATATCTTATATATCTTATATATTATATCTTATATCTTATATCTTATATATTATATCTTATATCTTATATATTATAGTATAATTATATAAGTGTAATTATACACTTATATAATATATAAGTGTATATATTATAAGTGTATATATTATAATGTGCATTATGGAAATAAATTACTTTAGAGAGAACACCCAACACAGCAGCTCCTGCTGCAGCACAACCAAAGGGCAAACCCTGGGAGAGAAGCAGGATTAAAAGCTTCTCTTTTAATGCATATATATAATTATAAGTGTATATATCATAATGTGTATTACGGAAATAAATGACTTTAGAGAGGACACCCAGCACAGCAGCTCCTGCTGCAGCACAAGCTAAGGGCAAACCCTGGGAGGGAAGCAGGATTAAAAGCTTCTCCTCTGTGCAGAGGGCAGCAAGTTCAGCAGGCTGCAGGATTAGGGGCATTGCCATGGTTACCCTGTAGTGCTGCAGGCAGTGACTCAAGCTGCTGCCATCGGCGGCCTGCTGGAAATCTCTGTCATCCAGTGACTCCCTGGTGCCACAGACCCAGCTCAGCAGCTCCTGCAGCCTGCCCTCCAGAGCCTCGTGCTGCGCCAGGATTTTAGCCTGAAAAGCAGAAATTCGTGGTTTAAAGGAGGAATTTTAGGGAGTTTTTTGGGGCAGCAGGGAGGAATTTTCAGCTCTACCTTTTCAGCTTCTGCTGCCCCACGAAGGTTTTGCAGCCGGGACTGCAGGACCTCGCTTGCAGAGCTCAGAGACTTGTGGAGGTTCTTGGCATCCTTCTCCAAAGCCTTCAGTAACTGCTCAGGGACCTCTTCAGGGGGGTTGGCCACAATCCTCTGCACGGCATCCAGCTCCTGACTCACTGGGAAGCTCAGCTCCTGCAGCTCGGAGCCCAGAGCCTGAGACAAAGACAGCACCACGGGGTGACTTCGCCTCCCTGCTGCCAAAACCCAGCAGGGCTTTTGGAGAGGCAGCTCCAAACACTCAGCCTGGAAAAATTCATCCCCCCACTCCAGCCCTGCTAGGCTGCCAGCACTCTCCTGCCTCTCTCCAAGCTGTAAAATTCCTGTCAGCCAAGCTCAGGCTGTGGCAGGAGGGATGAGGTTTGATATCAAAGCCTGTTAAACCTGAGACAAAGGTTTCTTTCCCCAGGAAGCTGGGGAGAGGGGGGAAAAGCTCTGCCTGACACCAGCCAAGCCTGGCCCAGCCTCTCTCACCTCTGCTTGCTGCCTCAGGTCGTGCAGGGCTGCCAAATTCTGCTCTGCTGGCTGCACACGCTTGATTCTCATCTCGATATCTCGGAGCATGGAGAGATAAGATATCAGCCTCTGGTCGTGCTCCAGACACATCTTCTTGCTGAACTTGATCTGCAGAATCAGACAGGAAATCAAAGCTTCAAACTCAGGCAGAAAAGGAGACAAAAAGTGTTATATAAAATTCTTTTTTTTTTTTTTTTTCCCCCAAAGGAGAAATTTGTTAATAACGTTCCCGCTCGTGGACTCGCCACTTGCCAGCCTTATCTACAAGATTTACTACAGGAGAAATAAAACACATGGTTCTTTTTCCAACATAAGCTTATAAATGGCAAGAGATCTCTTGGTGTTGCAGCAAAAGTGCCAAAAAAAAAAAAAATAATTTTACTTGTTAGTCATTTAGCAGTAATGCTCCAGCAAAAGGAGCCACAACTCAGCCCTGAGTGTTTCCAGTTGTACATCACCAGCTCCTTTGCCAAATCCGCTGCAACATCCACTCCTCCTGCTTCAGCTGCCCTCTGTGCCGAGGATCTCAGACAGATTTAGCACCAAACATCCACAAATAGCTCAGGAAAAAATCGCCTAAATAGCAAAAATATTCACTGACCTGGGCCGGCCTCGTGGACTCCCTCGAGGTTTCCAGCAGCTCCCCCTCCACGATCACAGGTAAGAGCAAACCCGGGCCTGGCTGCTTGCTCCTCTCCTGTGGGGGCTCTTCTTTGGATTTTGGGGGAGCAGGGCCTCCTCCTTGGTCTGCTCTGGGCTCAGCTCTTTGCTCGTGCTGCTCCTCCTCTCCAAGCTCCAGGATTGCGGAGGTTTCCCGAATTTCTGTGGGTTCCTCTGTGATAATTAAGTCATGGGGCAGTTCCTGTGCCACGGTGGCTGCGCTGGGCACATCCTGGGTGGTTTCCACCCTGGTGTCTTCCTGTGCCATCCTTTTCTCCAGACTCAGGACCACCAAGGATTCCACCCTGGTGTCTTCCTGTGCCATCCCTTCCTCCAGACTCAGGCTCCTTTCCTCACGTTTCAGGGCCACCAGGGAATCCTGCCCATCCTTGGTGCCACCTTCCACCACCTCTCGAGCTCCCCCGTGCTCAGGGAGCACCTGATCCTCTCTGGGGGTTTCTTTGTCTTTCCCAGGAATTGTTTCCTTCCCTCTTCCACCCTTGTGCTTGGCTGTGTCTCGTGCCAGCCCAGCAGCAGCCTCGGTGCTGGATTCATGTCCTGGCTCTGGCACCCTGGAGACAAAGCGCTGCTCCTCGCCCTTTTTCCTTGGAATTTCTTGGGGAGCCAGGAAAGGAAGGAGCTGCTTCTCTGCAGGTTTCTCTGGCTGAGCGCTGTCTCCTGGAATGCTGCCCTGCTTCGCTTTCTTCTTCTTGCTTTTCTTTTTCTGGGTAGGTTTTAGCTCGGTTTCACTGGTTTTTTCCTGCTCAACGGCACTTTCTTTGTGAGGGGTTTCTCCTCCTGTGTGTTTGGCAGCTGTTTTCCCTGCAAGCTCATCTCCCACAGGAACACCAAGCTCGGGGGGTTCTGCAGGACCCATCCCTCCCTTATCTGTGCCCACACTGACAGATTCCCTCAGGGCTCCTGGTGTCTCCTGGACCACGCTGGTCACTCCCTCTCCTTGCCCAGAAATCACCACTGCAGCTTCTCCACCTGCCACAGCTCCCTCTGCACTTACAAATTCTCTCTTCCTCCTCCTCTCCTCATCATCCTCCTTGTGAAGCACCTCTGTGCCCTTCTCCAAGCCCTGTCTCTCAACTTTCTCTGTCCCTCCATCCATTTCTTCCCTCAATTCCTTGCCCTGGGCTGCTCTCACTTGGGAGATGCCTTTTGGGATCCCTTTTTCCACAGCCCCTGTCAGCATTGCCTCTTCAGGGAGGGACACTGTCCCCAGCACTGAGGGGAGCTCTGGAGTCACCTCAGCCTTTGCCTGGGGGTGATGAAGGCGGTGATGATGTTCATCTTGGGGATGGACACCACCCTCTGAAGCTTCCTGGGGTTTTAATTCCCTTTCTGTCCGTGCTTTGGGGGATTTCTCAGTGGCTGCAGCTGCACTCTGAGCTGTGTCATAGCTGACAGCTTCAGGGTGAGCTTTGGGCTCAGCACCATCAGATCTGGCAGGGAGGACGACACCCTCCTCTTTTGGAGACAGTTTTTCTATTTTTTCTTGCATTTTTTCTACTCTGAACACCTCAGAGCCAACTTTCTCCTCGGACATTTGCACATCCCGAAGACCAGCAGCTAATTTTTGGCTAATCAGCTCTTTCCCAACATCCTGAGCTGTGTCATAGCTCACAGCTTCAGGGTGAGCTTTGGGCTCAGCACCACCGGACCTGGCAGGGAGGATGACACCCTCCTCTATTTTTTCCTGCGGAAGTTTCATTTTTTCCACTTTGAACACCTCAGAGCCAACTTTCTCCTCGGATATCTGCACATCCTGAAGGCCAGCAGCTAATTTTTGGCTAATCAACCCTTTCCCAACAGCCTCCCTCACAGTCAACCTTTTCCCACCGGGGGCATCCACGATTCCCCCAGCGCTGAGCTGGTTGTTGGCGATGACTTTGGCCATGGCCTCATCCAGCACGCCCTGCTCCACAGCTGCCCTCAGGGACAGCCTCTTGCTCACAGAGCCCTCCACCACGCCTCCACCGTCTGCCTGTGCCTGCAGCAGCCTCAGGGCGGGCAGGGGGTCCACCCTGCCCAGCCTCACCGCCTGGGCACACGGCAGCTTGGTGCCCGTCGCCTCGTCCCTGACGGCCCGCAAGGGATGCACCTCCAGGTACCGCTGGCCGGATTCGACGTCGATTTTGCACTTCTTCAGGAACTCTGAGTAGGGGGTGATCCGGCAGGTCTCGGGGTCTACAAGGCCTTCTCTCATTGCTGAAGATGACAGGGCTTTCTCCGCCACCTGCTGGGGCACCAAGCCCTCCTGCACCGCCTCACTCAGAGCCAGCCGCCGGCCAGAAGCTGGATGGAGGATGCTCCCACTCTCAGCCTGGATTTCCTGCACTTTCCTCTGGAATTCTGCGCTGATGAGCCCCAGTGACACTGCCTGGGGCAAGGGCAGCTTCTCCTTTGTAGCTGGGTGCACAAAGCCCTGCAGGACCACGCTTTCAGCTTTCCTGAGCTCCTTGCACAGGTCTGGACCGATCAAACCGTGTTTCATGGCGTTGTCCACCGACAGCCTCATCCCAGACACGTGGTGGATGATCCCTCCGTCACCAACCTGCTTGGTCAAGAGCTGAAAGGCTTTTTCCTTCTCCAGGAGCCCCTTTTCAACAGACTCTGCCACAGTCAAATGCTGCTTGCTTGCAGGATCCACAATCCCAGTGGTCTCAGCCTGCAAATTAATGAGCTTCTGCCTGGTCACCTCATCAGTGCCTTTCCCCTTGGAAGCCTTCTCCAGCTTGACCAGCTCTGCCTGGCTCGTTGGCTCTATGAGGCCCAGATTTGAAGCCAAAGTCACTGACACCTTCTTGCCACGTTTCAAGTCAACAATGCCCCCAGTGACCACCTGCCCTTCCAGGATCCTCATGGCTGTCTCCTTGTCCAGAAGGCCAACGGCAGCAGCGTCCTTGATGGAGTACACAAAGTTGTTGCCCGGGTCAAGGACACCACTTATGGCTTTGTCAGACGTGAGGACCTTCTGGAGCAGCTCCTCATCCATCAGACCTTCCTCAATCACGTCCTCAGTGGTCAAGGATTCACAGGCCTGAGGGTCAAAGAAGCCACTGAACATCCTCATCCTCTCCATGAGTTTCACAGCCGTGTGGCCAGACACCACCCCAGAGGCCACGGCCTCATCCAGCAGCAGGGTCCTGCCCGTCTGCTCGTGGGTGATGCCACCACTTTGGAGCTGCATCAGGAGCTTTTCCAAAGTGTCCTCTGCTTCCTGCTCCTCATGGGGTGGCAGGGGTGGTTCCTCGATGCCCTCATCACCCAGAACTTCTTCCTGCTCTCCTGTGTCCTCTGCTTCCCGCTCTTCATGGGGTGGCAGGGATGGTCCCTCATCACCCAGAACTTCTTCCCGCTCTCCTTCTTCCACTTTCAGCACAGTTTCCACGTCCTTGCTTTGCCTCTCTGCTGGTGCTGCCTCCCCACGTGGAGGGAGCACAACCTCCTCTCCTCCCAGCACACCATTTTCAACTGTCCCCTCCTTCAGCAAATAAACCTCTCTCACATCTCTCACATCTCCTGCCTCTCCTTCAGGCTCCCTCACACCCTGAGACCCCTCTGCCACCATTTTCAGTCTGTCTCTGCTTTCTGGAACGCCCATTGTAATGCAGATTTCACTTTTCACAACCACTGCCCCACTTTCCAATGCCCTTTTCTGATATTCGGGACCCTCCACTCCATCTGCTGCAGGAGGCTTGGACTCTTCTTCTGCCTCAATCCTCATTTCCTCTGTTCCTCTGGTTAATCCACTACCACTGGGAGGTTCTGGCATCAATAATTTTACCTGATGTTTATCCCTGGTTGTAAAAGTCACCTGTTCTTTTCCAAATTCAGCATCAGTTTCGCTCCTGATGCTCTCCAGCTCAGTGGAAATCTGCTCCTGCTCTTCCACACACAGGAACTCCTCTGCGTCCTCCAAGAGGAGACCTTCAGGTCCCACCACCACCTCCCCATTCTCCAAAGCACTTCTGGGTGGTAGGATCTTCTCACTTTCACCTTTTGAAGGAGCAGATTGAATCTCAAGCTGCTGCAAAGCCAAACCATTGCAAGGTTTGCTTTCAAGAGCTGCCTCTGCCTCCGCAAAGCCTTCCAACACCTGTGCCTCTGTCTCCTCAAAGCCTTCCAACACCTGTGCACAGGATCCATTTTCCTGGCTTTGGATGAGAGCTTTAGTGAGGTTCTTCAACTCTGCATCCACCAGGAGCACCTTCTGGCCATCGCGGATGTTGATGTAGCTGTGGGTCATCAGGTGGAACATCAGCTTTTCATCATCACTCCTCAGCAGAGGTTCCTCCTGACCCGTGGGGCTCCTTCCAGGGGAGCTCTGGCTCCTGCTTGGAGCTCCAGAGAGCTGCACGCTGGCCAGGACATCAGGGATGGCTGTTGACTTCAGCTCCTTCACCACCTCTCTGTCCAGGATGCCCTGCTCCACTGCCCTCTGCCAGGACACCACCTCTGTGGTTTCTGGGATGAAAACAGCCTGCAGGAGCTGCCTCTTGCTCAGAGCCTCCTCCATCAACTCTGTGGAGAGCATCCCCTGCTCCAAAGCATCTGCAACGGGGATGACCTCCCCTGTCTCTGGCCACAGCAGCCCCATGAAGGACCTCAGGGATTCCAGCACCAGCAGTGCAGTCCTTGGAGCCACCAAACCCCTCCTCAGGGCTTCATCCACGCTCAGCCTCTCTCCCGTGGTGGTGTCCACGATCCCACCAGTCTGGAGCTGCCGGATGAGGAGCGTGCAGGCCAAATCCTGCTCAATCAGATGGTGCCTGACAGCCTCATCCACCGTCAGCCTGTGCCCTGTCCTGGGGTCCACAATGCCACCAGCAAAGAGCTGGGCTTCCAGCAGCCTGGTGGTCACCTGCCTGTCTATGAGCCCCTCCTGGAGAGCACGGAAGATGCTGACCTGCCTGCCTGACCTCAGGCTCACCATGCCACCCGCCAGCTGCCTGACTGGGAGCAGCCTCAGCCCGGTCTCGTGGTGGGTGATGCACCTGCCCAGGAGCTCAGGCAGGCTGATCTTCTCAGCAGTGTTGGGGTCAATCAGGTCCTTGCCACATTCCAGGTGAGACAGGAGCCTGGAGTGGAGCTGGGGGGGAAGGAGCCCTTCTTGCACCGCTGTCTCCATGTTGATTCTGCCCTGCTGGAATTTAAAGCCCCCAGTGAGGAGCTCGGCCTCAAGAATCTTCAGCCCAACGCTCTCACTGATCCTGCCCTCTTCCATGGCAGCAGCGACGGGGAGGAGCTGCCTGCCTTCACATCTGATCTCTTCCACCTGCTGGAGGGCATCCTTCAGCTCCTGCAGCACCTGGAACGCCCTGGGATCAATGATGTTTCTTGCCAGGGCTTCCTCCAAGGAGAGTTTCTCACTGGTCTCTGGGACAACTAAGTCAGAGGAGATCACCTGGGCCTCCAGGAGGACCAGGCCTGTGTCCTGATCTATCAGACCTCTCTGCATGGCACCAAACACAGGGAATATTTCTACCGTGCCAAGATCGATCACTCCTGCCACGGCTTCGCTGCCCTGGAACAGAAAGAGAAGGAAAAGAATTAGATCAAAATTCAGCATTTCCAGCACTCATTGCATGAGTTTCAGGGAGGCCTCACTTAAAAAAAAACAAAACAAAACAAAAAAAAATTAAAATCCCCAAACAGGCTAGAAAGTCCTAAAGTGTTTGCAATCTAGTCCATCACCAGGGCAGCACCAAGATGCTTCCAATATCCACCAGCAGCAATGCAGCAAAGCAGCAAGCACCAAAATTTAGAATCATTCCTAATGCTCCACAGAAAAGAGGGCAGGAGACCAACAAGCACAACAAAGCCCTTCGACAACTCCACCTTCAAAAAGCAAAGACAACACAAATCCCACTCATGGGGAAGAAAACCCCCCAGAACCAACCCACTGTGGGGTAAAGAGGAACCTTCCCCAGCACAGCCTCCATGCTGATCCCTGCCATGCTGAGAATCCTGCACTTCCCAAGCAAATCCCAAGTGCCAGGATGGGCGGGGAACACCACAGAGCCCCGTGGCATGGAGCAGCTCCCAGCCATGCATCAGGGCAGGAGCAGCACAGCTCCCCACGGCAGCACCTCCAAGCTGCTCCTCAGACAGGGCCAGGGGAGAAATGGAACAAGCTGGAGGTTCCAGCATGAACAGGGACAAACTGGGACCACACCAGCTACTGTGGTGGTTTTTGGAGGGGCTTTTCTTGCTGCTATCCCCATGGGGAGGGTGATAATTTAGGTGATAAAGTGTCTTTGTTCAAAGGCTCTTTGGACGTTGGGGTTTCTCCCAGTGCCACTGGTTGGGTATAAGGCTGGCCCAAGCACTCCAAGATTTTTGTGGGGATAACAAGGAGGGAATCAGGACTATGGAATGAACTCCTTTTGCATCCCAACACCCTGCTGTGGGGACAGGAGGAACCTTCTGGGACAACCTCAGCTCTCCACCACCATGGCCAGGCCCTGACGTGCAAACTCAGAGACGTGGAAAGACAGAGAAAGAGGGGAAAGGGGGGAAAAACAAAAGAGAAAGATCAAAAAAGGAGATGGATGGGAGTAAAAGGCTTTTACTTACCGACTTGCAGGGTGTGCCTTGAGCAGTTAAAGACAGAGCCTTATGGAGCAGTTCAGCCGTATCACACACAGTGTAAAGCTTGGGGTTAGCGTC